TTAGTATATTTACTTATCAACATCCTTGTGGAAAAACACTGAGTTGGGGCTTATTAACTATAAGCTTTATATCTTTTAGCCTATAGCCACCTCCTTTCATACCCATTCCCTGCAAGTGGTTAAAAGGCCTAGTGATGGGGAATGTTCTTCTGTGTATATGTGTTTCTTATTGGTTAATGAATAAAACACTGATTGGCCAGACAGGAAGTGACGTAGCTGAGCAGGGACAAACAGGAAATTGCTCTTTTCTCTGCATAGATGCTGAGCAGTCATGATGTAGCAGGCAAAGGAGTTGCAGGTCCAGCATTTGCCCAGTAAGGTATGACCATGTGGAAACACATAGATTAGTAGTTATGGGTTAATAATTAAGACAGAGCTAGTCAATAAGAAACCTTAGCCATCGGCCAACAGCTTTATAAATAATATAGTGTCTGTGTGCTTATTTAGGACTCCAGCATGGCAGGACCCTGCCGGGCCAGAAAACATCCACATTACAGCCTAGCACCATGCAAGTTTAGTTTTGCCCTCTGGTTTGAAATTTGGGAATCATCTAGTCCAGTGCTTCTCAAACTGATCCCCAGGCCATCAGTAGACCAGATAGAGGCATGTTAGAAATGGAGATCTGTGATCCCACCCCTCTCCACCCCATCCCATCACACACAGACCTACAAGACTAGAATCTCAGAAAGAGGGGCCCAGCAACCAGAGTATGACTCTGTGTGTGTGCGTGTGTGCACACACACACACATGTGGGCACATGTATGAACAGGTGCATATGCACACATGCCTCTAAGAGGCTAGAAGTTGATGCCAGGTGTCCGTCTCAATTCCTCTCACCTGATTTTTTTGACAGGATCTGGCTGGCCAGTGAGTCTTAGGGATCCTCCTAACTCTACCTCCCCAGTACTGGGGTTACAGGCACAGGCTGCCATGCCCAGCTCTTTTATTTTTTAATATATTTTTTATTTTACATATTTACCACAGTTTACCCTCCTCCCATCCACTCCACTTCTCTCTCCATTCAGGCCTCCCATGGGAGTCAACAAAACATGGTTGAGGCAGGACCAAGCTCCTCCTCCTGTATCAAGGTTGGGCAAGGCAACCCATCGTGGAGAATGGGTTCCCAAAAGCCAGCTCAAGCACCAGGGACAGGTCCTGATCCCACTGCTAGGATCCCCTCCAAGAGACCAACTGTCACACACATGAAGAGGGCCTAGGTTGCTTCCAAGTGCTCCCTAAGTTCAGAGTACATGAGCTCCCGTAAACTCAGGTCAGCTGTCTCTGTGGGCTCCTCCATCATGACCTTGATACCCTGGCTGGTATAATCCCTCTTCCCTCTCTTCAACAGGACTGTCAGAGCTCAGCCCAGTGCTTGCTGTGGATCTCTGCATCCACTTCCATCAGTTACTGGATGAAGGCTCTCTGATGACAATTAAGGTAGTCACCAATCTGATTATAGGAGAAGGCCAGCTCAAGCACCCTCTCCACCATTGCTAGGAGTCTTAGCTGATGTCATCTTTGTGGATTCCCGGGAGTTTCCCTATGCCCAGCTTTTTCATATAGGTGTTGGGGATCCAAATCCAGGTTCTCAAACATGGGCAAGCAACTTACTGACCGAGCTATCTCTCCATCCATGTAACGTGTGTGTTAGCATGGTTTCCTGGTGACACTGAGCCATTCCTCCAGCTGTGCAATGTGTGTTAGCATGGTTTCCTGGCGATGCCAATTCATCTTAGAATGTGAGAGCCAGTGCTGAGCTGTATTATCTTCTGCTGATGAGGAAAATGGAACCTAGAGAAAATAAACATGGACTTGCCTGGCATCACTGTCAGGTACAAAATCCAGACATCTGAAGAAGATACCAGGTAGCGAGGACAAACCGAGGCACCCCTGGAGGCTGATGTGAGGTTTTAGGGGAAAAAAAAAACCACCATGAAGTCTGCAAAACTCCCTCAAGACATCCGTCTCCTAGGTTGCCACTCCAGAATGGTGGAGACCTCATGGGAAGTCGCCAGGGACAGCTCATTGTCTGTCTCAAGGGGCTTTACCCATGCAGTACTCCTATGTGAGTTACAACCCAATCTGGAAACAGAGATCAAATTAGCAATCCGATGAGGGAAATTTTATACAAATTGTTCCCTGAAAGATGTCTGCAGACTGAGTCTACACTGCTTGTGACCCCAGCTGGTGTTTCCGGGTCCCCCGATATTAGCATGGGCCCATCACCTTTCCTGATCAGTTTTCCCTTAGAGCCTTTCCAGTCATCAGGGATGGCCATTACCTTATAGTCCTGCCCCGCCTCTCCCTCGCCCCCACCCCAGCCCATGCATTTAGCACACACTGTGACTTGGCTCTGGGACCTCACCGCAACAACTCTCCTCCAGACCCTGTAGCTTAAGATTCAGATTCACATAAGCCTCCAGGCAGGACTTGGTTCCAGGCAGAATCCTGCAGGCTCAGCTCCACTGCACTGTGCCCCTAACGGCAGGGCAGAAGAAAGGCAAGGCAAAAGCAGTCCTGAGCAATACCCAGTGCGGCTCCCTCTCTTCCAGGGATGAGAACTGCTCTCAATTTCTCTACTCTCTTGGCCACTCCAAACCTAGCATCTCTCTCCTGCCAACTTGTAGCCCTGCACACCTGTCAACACTGAACTTCACATAAGGACCTCCTTACACAGTTATCTGTTTAAATCACACATATACATGCATGCCCATGTTTGTTACTTCTCCAGTCCCCACCGGCTTGGACTGATGCCCCTCCTCTCTCGGTCCCCAAAGTGTTGGGATTTACGGTTGTGTGCCACCATGCCCAACTTATTTCAATCTTCTTGTTTCTGGTTAGGTTGCATGTGTGTGGGCTCTGGAGTTCTATGTGCCAGATACCAAACTAAGCTGACCCTGTCTACCTGTCACCTTATTCAACCTTCACAACCCACCATCAGCATCTCCGTCACCGTCTGCAGATGGACAGTACCCTCACCAGCATAATGACAGTCCCACCTACATTTCACCGCAGTCTCTACTAATGCTGGACCTGCAGTTTAACCCACATCTTCAGCATCCCCTAGCTACTCATATTCAAATGGAATAACCTGACATTTCATGAGGAGTCCCACCTCTCTTCTAAGCAGTACAATCTCGGCAGAACTGGTCACTACACCTCTGCCACCACCCTTGTTTCTAGCTGTGATCCCTACAGTTCTTCATGACACCAGTCTACATAATTGTGTCAGCTAGGCTATAGGACCCAGGATCATGACCATATCCCAGGGCTTTAAGCCACTGATGTTTAGCAACATATCTGTGGGCCCAATAAATGTTCAACGGATGAATGAATGAATGACCGGCCAGCTAGAAAAGATAGTATAAACCACACATGCACCCATATCCTGACTCCCTCTAGTCCACGAGTTGGAGAGACTGGTCTGCTTTCTTGGGCTCTGAAGCAGCCAGTGGAGATCTAATGGTAGAGGACGACACAGTAAGAGCAGAAGACGGGTTCAAACCTCATCTCATGACTTCTAACGCATGCTCCTCAGCCTGCTGCCCATGGTACTCACAGTGTTCCACTCATGCCTGCACACCAGTTCAGAATCCATTTTATTAGGTGGTGGGCAGAAACCCTGGATGCATAGGAAATGTCCAGGTGTGCTTCCAAGACAGTGGCTCACCCTGACTACATGCTACAACCAGCTAGGGAGTCATTCAAAGACCAGGGTCAGTCTCTTAGGACCTCAGCCACATTCCAGGGGAAGAGCCTAACAGGTGTCATGTGAAGATCATAAGCAATGGCGAGAAACTAACTCGCTAAGAGAGAAACCAAGGTACAGCCCTGGAGCTTGAGACTCGGCATCCATACACGCGCTATAACACACAGTGTACGTTTTTAAAAAGTTTTAAAATGGAAAACCCATCCATTTTTTTAACCCTGAAACTTCATGCTGATGAAATGCACCATCATTACTAAATTCTCAGTCACAATCCATCACCTCTGAAAAAGTCTTAACAAAGCTCGTGTTTATTAAGAATTAAAAATACTGTAAATAAGCCATACAGTTCATTTCACAGTAAACTAACAAACCTTGTTTTTGTTTTCAGCTTTTCCTTTTTAAAATTTTTTTTCTTTTCTTTTTTTTTGGGGGGGGGGGATGGGAAGGGCAGGCAGCCATTAAAGACAACACAACTCAAAGGGGAAGAGTACAGGAAGAACAATTACAGAAACGCCACACGCATGATCCTCACTGACAGACGGGGCCAGGTGACAGGAGGCCTCTGCAGGAATACTGTGATAAAGTAAAAAAATCTGGCCACCGTCTCCCAGGGAGATGCCCAAGTCATCTGTGGAAAGTACAGCTCTCACATCTCAACACCAAGGTCTCCTAGACTTACTTGGTGACCCCCTCCTAGTGTGTCGATACAGGTGGCTCACCAGGAACAGAAGGGCAAGGGCCTTGGGGTGCTGTCTTCCCATTCAGAACCTTCTGAGTTTGCATAGTTACCTTTGATATCACTGCCTGGAACAGAAAGGGACCCTCAAGCAGAGCCTGAGAGCTTTCTCCTCCCGCTCAGAGCTCTTGTCTATGAGCTTTTACCAGTTCTAAGTGGAAGACAAGTAAGACACATAGAAACTCTGGCCACGAGTATAAAAGAAAGTAAAATTAATTTTCCTTAAAGACAATTAAAAAGAAAAGCCCCCTCCCCCCCCCCCGGTTTTTGTTGTTTTTACTATGAATCTGCTCCCTATTAACCCCCAGGTAAAGCTACTGCGCTTCTCCTAACAGCAGACACATCCTTTCTAAAAGCCACCTTTTCTGCACAGGGCTGGGCCTTCGGGAAGCCAAACCAAAAGCAGAAACAAGATGGTGCGTGGTAACAACTGCAATAAATTAACCGGGCCCAGAACACAGCTGCTTTCCAGTGGGGGGAAGGGAGCAAGAAGCTGGCGCGAGAGCACCTGGGAGGAAACGATGGATTTTTTGTTTTGTTTTTTGTTTTTGGTCGTAAGAAACTGGACTATAAATCTGTGCCCTGCACAAGCAGTTCATTTATATTTTCTCATGAATCTTTTCAACTTTCACAAACAACCTGTCAACGTCGTTCCTCAGATCATCCAGCAAGCCCTTGGCTGACTCCAGATTGTTCTCGTTCGCCTCGATTTTGACGGAGTAGGCAACCAAACTGTCCACGGCAGTCCTGAGCATTTTCAAGTCTGACTCCACTTGACTCACCGAGGACTTCAGGTTGTCCAGGGAGGAGAGCCTGTCCACCAAGTCCTGAGGAGGCGTGGCCTGGGCGTGGTCCTGGCTAAGCAGTGAGTGCACCCTTTCTTGCAGAGACTGCACAGTGCTGGGGAGCTGGTCCATGCTCTGCCGCAGCTCCTTCACGTCGCTGGCCAGCGTCAGCTGGTCCTCGCCCAGGCTCCTCACTGTGCTGGCCAGCTCCGAGGAGGACCCCAGGCTTTCCAGGTGATCCTGCAGCGCGGCCAGGCGTTGCTCGTACTCCTGGCTCTTGGACAGGAGCGATTCCAGGCTCTCCGTGTGGCGCGCAGAAGCCACCTGCATGGAGTAGACTCCGTCCTCTACGTACTGGAGCCTGGCACCAAGGCCCTCAATCTGCCTCTGGAGTTCATCGAAGGGTCTGGAGTCTTTGAAGGCAACGGCCTCCTCTGGCCCACGGGCCTCAGCCTTCAGCTGCTGCAGCTCCTCCTCCAGTCTCCTGATGTCCCCTGGGAGGCGAGAGGAGAATTCCTCGGAGCGCAGAAGCTTCTCTGTGAGGGCCTCCAAAGCCAGGCGCTCAGAGTCCGCCGCCTGCTTGAATGCCTGCTGCTCCTGCTTGAGGCTCACCAGCTCCCGGACCTCAGTGTAGACATCGGACTCCATGGTCTGGAGGGAACTCTGCAGGGCCTCGATGTCCCTCTCCCTGGACTTCACAGAGGCCTGCACCTCCTTCAGGGCTTTCTCCAGAGCTTTCAGGTCCTGGCTGCGATCGCCCTTGGACTCCTCCAGGGAGGCAACCTTTACCTTGACATCATTTATTTCCTTCTGGCTCCTCTTCTGTACGTCGGTGAAGATGGCGATGTTGTCGTTGATGGACTTGGTGAGCTCGGTCAGGCGCTCCTCGACCGTGTTCTCCAAGGATGTGAAGTCCCGCTCTCGGGCATCCTTCACCACATGGATCCCATCCGACAGGTCTTTGAGGATCTCGTTCTGCAACTTCTGCAGAACTTCACTGATGCGGTTGATCTCGCTCTCCCCTTGCTTCACAGCTTTCTCTGTGAGGTCCTGTTTATGCTGAGAGCTTCTCAGGATGGACTCGAACGTCCCAAATGTGGCCTGCAGGGACTGTACCTGCAAGCAAAACCCAGATGTCACCACAGAGAACAGACCAGGCGTCAGTATATACTACCGCTGCTTTCTGCACTCTGCTGCACCCTCCCATCAGCACCCTCCTTCCAAGGACAGTTAGGTGGTGATTGCTGTGATAACGAGTTGGCTCATTACCCAACCTGACCAGTCAACATGGTCCACCTGCCTCCCCTCTCTCAACCCCTTCCTTTCAGCCAATGGGACGAGCCAGGGATGGATAAACAGCAGGCAGGCTAACAAGGCAGGAAACACCTTTACCCACTGGATGAGGGAGGCCTAGGGCTGCTCAGACCAGCAGATGGCCAATATCCATCCATCAATCAAGACAAGGCCATTCTGAAGCTGTAACTCAATCCCGAATACAGCCACACCTGTGAGTCTACTCTTGAACTTTCTAGTTTGGGCCAATCAGAGCATTTTCATTCTCATGCTCGCGCTCTCTCTCTCTCTCTCTCTCTCTCTCTCTCTCTCTCTCTTCTCTTCTCTCCCTCTCTTCTCTCTCCTCCCTCTCTGTTCTCTCTCTCCCCTTTTCTCTTTCTCCCCCTCTCTCCTCCCTCTCTTCTCTCTCTCTTGAATTTTCGTAGGAAAGAACGGAGGCACATGGAGACTCTAGACACAAACAAAGAGACCAAGTCCAGGTCACCTCCTGTCACGTTCAGCTGTGTGTCTCTGGAAAGTCACTGTCCTCCCCGGACTTCAGTGTCCTCATTTAAAAATACAAGCAGTAGACCCGAAGATTCCTTAGGACACTGTGGCTTTTGTGAGCACATTGACACTTTCTCTGCGGCACACTCATTCTACACAAACTCTGTTCTGAACCTCCAAACGAGCTGGTCAGAAAGCTAGTTCTTACCATGATGTGACACCTGTGACATTTGGTGAGGGAAAAAAAATTAAGGAAAGAATAATAAGGCCAGGAGTGTGGCCTTGGTCCTGTAGGTCCAACTCCCCATTTCTGGAACACATAAGAGACTAGCTATGATGCCATGAGGTTGTTACCAGCTAAATCTAGTGTGGCCAGTTCTGTAGGATAAATGATGTCACTAACAGCCAACAATTAAATGTATTTTTTTTAAAAGGGAGGAAGACAGATGTTCTAGATTAAACTAAATGTAAGAGTTTTCAGGGGCTGGAGAGATGGCTCAGTGGTTAAGACCACTGGCTGCTCTTCCAGAGAACCTGGGTTCAATTCCAAGCACCCACATGGCAGCTCACAATATCTGTAACTCAAGTTCCACAGGATCTGATGTCCTCCTCTGGCTTCCTCAGGACCAAGCATGCACACATACATACAAGCAGACACAACACCCAAACACACAAAATAAAAACAAATCTCAAGGGGGAGGTTCTCTCAATTTAAAAACAGTACAAGAGTGTGAAATATGTATATATATATATATGTGTGTGTGTGTGTGTATACATATGTATATATATGCACACATGCATGCGTGTATATGTGTATGCATATATATTTATATATGTGTGTGTATACACACACATGGACTGGCACTTGGACTGGGCATATAGCTTGGCTGGTAGACTGTTCACAAGATCCTAGATTCAAGCCCAAGCACTTAATAAATTGGATCTGGTGGCATATGCCTATAATCTTGGCACCCAGGAGGTAGAAGTAGAAAGATCAGAAGTTCAAGGTCATCCTAGGCTACACTGAATCTGAGGCTAGCCTGCACTACATGAAACCCTAAAGTGACAAAAATAAATAAATAGAACATCGCAAGCTCTGGAGCCAGACCAGAGAGGCAAATCTTAGGTTAACGCTGTGCTGCTGTTGGATCTGGAAGTTACACAGTCTGTGTCTTGGTTTCCTCAACTAAAGGGTGGGGGTGGGGGTGGGGAACAAAAATAGTACCTGACTCACAGGACTGTCACGGTGAGAGCTAAATGAGTCAAACATATCAAGTGCTTAGTTGTGCCTAACTCATGGATGCTCAACTCACAGCAGCCACTGCCTTCATCATTTAGCTTTATCCTAAATTCATCACAAGCTCAGGAAGTCCTAGCAGCACCTCAGCAACACAGACAGGATACCCTAGGCGCAGAGTGTGCCCACCATGCTCTAGGAAACCAAAATCATATTCACTTCCCAAGCCCCAGGTTGTTGGTGAATGGGGGGGTCTCCTGAGTCTCTTCTATCTCCATCCATCTGTGATTTTTTTTTAAAATGTAGATTAGAATGGGGTTCTCAGGGGTTCCAGAAAGTAGACAATTTCCCTTCCCAGCCAAATCCAATCTGAGGCATAAAGACTACTGTGAGAAGGGACCGGAGAGAGGTGACCTCTAAAACTAGGTTAGTAAATCACAATCCCTTCCTGTTCTAAGCATAGCACTTAAAATAGAAGCGATAGTGGGTGAGCCCAGGACCTGCAACATGGCAGGCTACCTTCAGTGTTTTCTCAATGGACTAGAGAATGCAGGAATTCAGAGCAATGCATGATAAGGCTTGCGTGGGCGGGCCTACTTCCTATTCAACCCTAGGTTGGCTCTTTACAAATGGCTAGGAAGCGATTTAGATCAGAAACTATTACCAACCTCCAAAGGAACCCAGTGTCTCCCATACTGAGGACACTGTAGAATGTTCATCTCTATGCACAGTAAGTTCATAACAATTATTATTCATTAGATGTCTGTTCTTCTGGAATGTGTGGGATATCCACCGTGCAGTAGGTAATGGGCAAAATGCCAGAGACAAAATAATGGCTAGAACTCTTCCCTTCCTTCAGGGAGTGTTGCTGGAGTAAGGATAGACAGGCTAGCTACTAAGGGCTGATAGTCAATGGGACACTTACTATACACCAGTAACTATAGAATGTAAGGGGTGGAGCCAAGCATCAGAATCCCAAAACAGCTGATCTCAGGACCTGAACTATTTCAAAGGATGCTAGAGGCCTGTCACCACCAAAAGCAGGCCCTGGCTCCTCTTCACAGAGCCAAGATGAGAAACAAGAAAACACAGAGACTCACTCCCTATGAATTCGGTCCTCTCTCAAGTGGCCCCTACCAGCCTGAGCCACTCTAGCTACTGCTTTATGAAGTCTTGGGGTGGACCAGGGCTTATCCAGAGGCTGTAGCTGAATCGCTCACATGTGCTGAGACCCTGAACTTCTTGTGGCCCAATGGTATAGCCATCTACATATTGAAGCGTATAATATGCATGAGACATTAAATAGCAGCTATTTTAATGACACCATTAACTCTTTCCAAAGGTGGTCATTACTTCAACAGCTCTGGAGCCCTGAGAATTCCTGAAAGCTTGTGTACCGGGGTGTGTGAATATGCTGGATGGTGTGTACATACTTGTGAGGGCCAGAAGTTGACATTACTCTCATTATTATTATTATTATTATTATTATTATTATTATTATTGACACAAGGGCTCTTACAGGAGTGGAAGCCCACTGATTTGGCTGGACTGGCTCCAGAGATATCTTCCTGTCTATGCCTCCCCAACACTGGGATTTTAAGTGCAGACTACCAGGCCCAGCTTTTTACACGGGTCCTAGAAATCTAAACTCAAGTCCTAATGCTCTCGTGGCAAACACTTTACTGACTGGCCATCCTTGTCTTCCCTCCCCCAGTTCTTACAATGAGAAACTGAGGCCCAAAGAGGAAAGGGATTTGCATACAGCTGCAACAGACAAGGGGTGAAACCAAGCTGCACATGAAATAACCTTCAATTTCTTCAACCTGGATTCAAGACTCCCCCAATCTGGGCCTCAATTTCCAACTTCCACGGGAAGACTAGCCACCCTCTGTGCTTCCGGCTTGTTCAAGACTGTCCTTTACATGTATGCTCTTCACAGCTCTTCTCCCAACAGCTCTGGTGGCTGCAAACACCCAGGTACAGACCTAGGGAAATTTCACAAGCTCTTCCTTCCCAAAGTGTGTGCAAGCTACCCAGCACTCACATCTATTTAGTGTGCCGGCCGCCTTACACATTTGATTTGTGCCTTTTCCTCCTCCACGTCCTCCCCAGGGCCCACACAGAGTCGTGCAACTATCAGGCTTCGATAAATATTATGACGGATTTGCAAGTGAGTGGATGGAAGAGAGGAAGCAGGAGTTAGGGACTAGACTCCTCAGGGTGCCCATGTTTTAGGCTAACCTGACATTCTGCAGGCACAGCAGAATTGTCTACTGGATTCCCTCCCTTGGCCTGCACCACCTCACAGGCTGACTCACCCCAGCTGCTCCTCCAATCTTAAGAGGAAATTCCTAGTGCTGCACACTCAACAGAAGTACCACTTGGCAGGAAGCAGCATGCTGGGAAAGGGACAGTGGTTCCGGGCTCAGAAGTGGCGGGATTTTTTGTTTCCGTCCAGCAACTGAGTTTCATTGAGCAAGGATACGGTGGAGGGTGGAGGGGACCTGGAAGGAAAGGGGGGCTATGCTCTGGCTGGAAGGGTGGAAACGAAGCAATTTTGCCTTGGGAGTTGGGTTCAGCCATTCCTGAAACGGCTTCGTCACACGATGGCCCTGACTTTCTTATACAATCTGCAACTCAGTCAGTTGGGGTCTTTGCCAACTCACTTTATGTCTCTAAACCTCAATGTTCTGGTCTGGAAAATGGAATCAAAATTGTCAACCCTCCCTTCCTCCCTCCAGGGTTAACTCCACAAATTAGAAAATAAAATACACGAGTCTACACACCACAAAAGTGTGACCCAATACCTTTGGCTTTGTGTTTCCTCCACAGCTGGAGCGGGCTACTTCTAAGGCCCACATGGACTCCCTGGTCCAGCTAAGGACAAGGGACCTAAAGATAGACACCATTTCATCTGAACTTAGCAAATGACTAAGCTCACTAGCTTTTCCTTCCTCAGAAGCTCTGGGTCTATTAAAAACTGGCTTGGATGACTCCCACGGGCAGAACCGAGGTGAAGCCTTGACCAAAGGCTTCCAGGGATGAGATGCGCTGGCTTCCCTTCCAAACCTCTTTTTCAGGCAACTCTGCCCATTCAGCGGTTCCTAATGCAAAAAGAATGGGCTCCGTGGAGCCTGCCGGCTTCCTTACAGGTCACCGATAATGTCCTGTGACAGGGCCTTGGCCCACCCTCCCTCGATGGCCATCCTTGCAGCCTGCTCCATCCCTCTCCAGGACCATTAACAAAGCCAGTCTGGGGCCGCCCTAGCTACTAAGGAGCTGGGGTCCCAGATCTTGCCAAGGGGCCTGTGCACGAAAGGACGAGGGCCTCTTCAAGGAGGGCAAGAGTGGGGTCCGGACCCCGCCAAAGCTGGGGTACCCACCTTCTGCTCGACGCCCTGCAGGCTCTGGCCCAGCTCGTCCCTCTGACGGGAGAAGTCCTGGTGGCCGTGCCGGACCTGCTGGACCTCCTCCAGGGCGTGATGGACACACCAGCCAGAGAAGGCGGCCGCCGCCACCAGGGCGAGGTAGAAGAGAAAGTTGAGCACCCGGCCAAGCCTGCGCGAGCAGGACGCCGAGGACGCGGCGGTGGCGGCCGAGGACCTGCCGCGGTGGCCGCCCCGGTGCGCCTGATTCTGCGGGTGCTGCTGCTGCTGCTGCTGCGGGTGCGGCGCGGGCGGCTGCGGCTGCTGCGGCGCCGGCGGCGGCTTCTTGGCCACGTCATCCGCGCCGCCCGACGGGTGGGCGCCCTTGTCCGAGGGGATCGCGGCGCTGTGGCCGCCCTTGGAGCCCCTTTGTTTGGCCGAGGGCATGGCGGCGGCGGCGCGGCGGGATGGGCGAGCGGGGCGAGCGGCCCGGGACGCTGGCTCGGGGCTCCCGCGGGGACTGCGCTGGCGGCACGCGGGAGCGGCGGCGTCGGAGCGGCCGGGAGCGTGGGGCGGCGAGGAAAGAGGCCGGCCGCGGAAGGAGGAGGGGGCCTGGCTCCACCGCCGCCGCCGCCGCCGCCGCGGCGCCGACCCCGCCTCCCGGGAAGGGAGGCCGAGCCCAGCCCGAGCGCCTGCCACTGCCACGCAAGCGGCCCGCCGCCCCTCCTCCCTTCGCCGCGACCCCGCGGAGGGAGGAGACCGGGCCGGGCAGGGCGGGGCTGGGCGCGGCTGCCGGGGTGGCCGAGCCTCGCAGTGCCCCGGTTACCCTGGAGTGGAGTCGCCGGGGTGAGCCTGATCGCTGTGCTGGGTGTGAGCCCCACCTGAGTGGAGGGGGATGCAGGGGGCTCGGGGAGCACGGCTCTGGAGGGTGGGGACCAGACGCCCCTCTTGCCCACCGCGAATCCGCAGACATCTCCTCCACCAAGTCCGCCCTGCAAGTCCGCAGCTGGGCCAGGCCTTCTCTTTCCGAGGGTTTTTAGGCTCGAAGGATTGCATCCAAGCACAGACTGCAACTTGTCCAAGGAACTGAGTTACTGTGCGTCTGGCTCTTGGCCCTGACAGTAGGCTATAGACAAGACCCCTCCCCAACCCCCCCAGCCCCCTTGACTCTGTTTTCTTTGGGGGTATCACACAGTCCCACCACAGCTCCTGTTGCAGGCAGACTCTGGGTTGAATGTGGGAACGCCACCCACACTTAGAGGTACACAGGTCAAGGTTGTCATTTGCACATTTGTAAAAAAAAAAGAAAAGAAAAGAAAAGAAAGAAAGAAAGAAATATAACTATGCCAATCCGGCTTGTCAACATATATGCGTTCTGAAACCCTTACAAAACCCTTGAAAGGTTGGGATTGTATTTGCCCATTATTTTATAGGAAAGAAACAGACTGGTCCCCAGCCCCAACAGAATGTTTTAAGGTCGGTCACACATAGCCACGATTGGAACCTATTTCTGTTGCTTCTGATGGGATTCATCCCTAGCTGGGAGGGAAACGGGGCCTCGGAGCAAACCTGCCCACTGTCAGCTCAGACCCATTGGTTCCCCAGTCAGTAGCGCTCTGGGGCTCACCCCACACACAACTGGCTTGCGATGTAGCCCTGGTGTGTGCCTGGCAAAAGTAGGTAGGGATGCGGTTTCTTCTGTCTGCAAACTCCTGATCTGCTTAAAACAAAACCAAAGTCGTCCTGTCTTTAAAGTCATGTTGAAATACCACCACTTCGTACTTTGGCTGTCGCATGCCCAATAGCCCTCTTGGCATGAGCAATAGCAAGTAGACATTGTATGTGCGCCTTTACAAGAGCAACGCTTTGCTGAAGGCCCACCGTGTGCCAGGCATGTCTGTACGCTGCTGGAGACACCTTTCTTGAGGACGACCATTGCTCCGAACTCTTTTCAAAGCTCACCTTTAAAACCTGGGTGAGCACACGTGTGCCTGTAATCGTGGTTTCTGAGTTACACCCGGGGAGTATGCTAAGGCCAACACCTCAGAACTGAGAATGTAAATGTAAAGAGAACTTGGAAAGCAAGCCTTGAGCAGTACACAGAATAAAGAATAATTTGGAGAACGGATTTGCATAGTGGTAGAACAGGAAGGCTATTTCTGAGGCAGAGGACTGTGAGCCCAGAACACCTGTCCTGACTTGAAGGGTGTGTGCTACATGTAGAGATGAGCTGGGTGGAGTGGCTGCAGATTGCAGTAGGTAGCAAAAAAGAAGCACAGAGTGACTGCTATTGTGGAGGAAAATAGCACAGAGTAAATTAAATGTGGACTAGAACCTGTTCTAGCGAAATCATCTGCTCTATACAAAAGAGAACACCCTGCCATGGGCTGAATAGCAGGAGGTATAGCAGAAGCCTCCAATTCAGCAAAGAACAGGACTCCTCAGCCTGCAGACCAGACAGAGACAGATGAAAACAAAAAGCTGGGTTGTCATAAAATGTTCAGGATCATCTTGCTCACAAACCACCTAAGTTCAAGGCGTGCTTAAAATTGCTGATGTGTGAACAGAGACACCTCCCCCCCTTCACTCTCTGTGTAAGAGGACAGGGCCAGTATTCAGGGCAGCCTGCTGGCACCCATCCAAGCTCTGGCCCGGAGGCAGGAGCCCATGCTGCTTTTTGAACCATGGCTTTGCCACCAAATTCTGTGACCCTGAGGAGTGGACTTAACCTCCTCTCTGGATTCCAGGGCCACCTTCTCTGTAAAGGGCATCTCTAAAGCTCTCTCTTATTATGACATTAGTCTGTTCCTTAGAGAAAGCAGCCACTCCGTTGTTAGTGAAAATAATCAATGATCTTTAGGTGTTTGGTTTTTTATGAGTTACACGTGCAGGGCAGAGATGGGAATGGGAGGTTTCCCAGGTTTTCGCCTGTTGAGCACTGGAAGAGAGGAGAGTGACAGGCTAGAGCAATGGCTCGTTGACACAGTCCTTGCTTTACAAGCACAAGCACTTGAGTTTGATCCCCAGAACCCATGTCAAGCCAGACCAAAACTGGTGGGTAAGAGGGTTTGCTGCACAAGCATGAGAGGACCTGGGTTCAAGTCCCTGGGACCCACATAAAAAAAGGCAGGCCTGGCTGCAAGGGAGTGTAACCCCAGTGCTGGGGTGAGGTGGTAAGGAGACAGTGTGATTGCTGGGGCTTGCTGACTGCCAGCCTAATGCCAGGGTCACAGAGAGATGTTCATCTCAAGAGAATAAGGGAGAGGATGATAGGGATATCTGAAATCTAGTTTTCACACGCACGCGCGCACACACACACAGGCTTCACAACTCCATGACAAGCCAGCCTAGGTTACTTGATGAGTTCCAGCCCAGTGAAGAACCCTGTCTCTAAGAAAGAAAAGAGGTAGATGGTGCCTAATGAATGATGGCTGAGGTTTTCTCTGGCCTCTACATTCACCTGTGTGTGTGTGTACTCACACACACACACACACACACACACACACACACATACACAAAACACACAGGGCAGAGACAGTGGGTATAATGGTGAAGACTGGCTCTGGAATAAGTCACATTCAGGTTCAGAACCTCCTGCAGAACATGATGTCCCTGAACCTCAGTGACTTAATCTACCAAATGGAACGATAAGAATGTGTTTACCGCACTGTGCCGTAAGGAGTGATGACGTCATAGTAAGTCTTTGTGAAGAAAGGGTAGGAATGCCATTCTCAGAGCCACTTGGGACAGGCACAGCTTCACAGAGCTCCTGTGTCCAGATTTCAAGGCTTTTCTTTCATCATCATTTCTGGGAGCTCCCCACACTGTATATGGCTCACAAACCACAGTCTGTGATGTGTTTAACTTTAAAAGGCACTCTGTTTTCCTGTGAAGTAGGGTGTTTGGTTACACCCATAGGAGGAGAGACCTGCCCAGAGCCATCATGGAAGCAAAGCTTGTAGGCACTGAAGGTTCTGGAGATTTCCATCCTGCTGACTTCATCTGTGTTGGCACACCATGCATTGCATGGGTTCAGGGGACTTGTCCTTTCTGTTTTCTCCTCATCTCAACTCCTCCATCCCTTTTTCCTCCCCCACCCTAAAGTAAGGGTGTAGGATGAGATCAGGACTGTGGAGGAGCCAGACAAATCTCTTCCAGGCATCCAGCTGTACCAGGGTGTCTCCAGACACCCTCATATTTGCATGGACTAAATTACAAGGTGGCGTTCTGGGAGCCAGTAGCCTTCCTGGTCTCCCACATTTCAGCCAGAGTGCCAGCCCAAATGCAAAGCCCCAGGAAGGTCAGCTGCTTCTCCTCTGCATTCAAATGATAACGTTCCCAGAAAGAAAGCCACAGGCCCTCAGTCGAGCTCCTTCATAATTCTCCTTTGCATAGCCAGGACCACCCATCTCAATGCAAGGGATTAGCAAACCCTTTTGGCTTTTCCTTTGCATTTTACCCAGCACCTCCCACTTCCCCTGAGCTGCTGTACCACTGATGTCAAAGCTGCTCACACCTGGGTGACTGTTTAAGGACATGATGTCCTACCATCTGTGTGCAGCACAAAAGTCAGCACAGCTCCACTAAAATGCAAGTCCTATTATCTGAGCTTTTATTATCCATGCTACATTACACGGCTTTCCCAACCTTCCTGGTATGTTCCCGGTGTTCATCCCCGGTCGGTCATTCTCCAGACTTCACTGCCATGCTGCCCATACTGGCCTCCATCCTCAGTGAGCCAGATATCTTAGTACTAGGCATGTTTGTTCCCTAGTCCCCCTTTTGTTGCCCGGTTAACCTTACCTCCTTGACCTTCTCCTCTTAGAGACAACTTTGTCCCGTAGAAACTCTTTTCTCCAGCATTCACTTTTCTCTACCACATATTTATCTTTTTCGTCTCACAAATTTAAGCTCAGAGCTCCACGAGTAAAACATTAGTTGACTCAAGTTTGTATTCCCAGTGCCTAGAATGATGTCTGGTATATAGTGGATGCTCAATAAATGCTATGATTATCACATTGCTTAAAACCCCTTTGTGTAAAAGCCAAAGGATGGGAAGAATGCTTTAAAAATGTTACCTACACAACTTGTCATGGCCATTTTGCTCATAGCTGCTAAGGTTGCCTGCACAAGATCAACCAAGCCAAACTTAGGGCATAAGTGGGAAGCGCTTTCCAAGCCTATCCTTTAATGACAAACTATTGGCTGTTTGCAGAGGTTTCAAGGATCTGGTGATGGCACACCTGTGTACATATTAAAAACACTAATTTGATTCAGTGGCTTTTTTTTTAAGGGCATGAAATTTGAATAGGGGATATATTGGGGGGAATCTCTGAGGAGATGCGGGGCATAAAAATCAAGCTACATTGTATACATGTATAAAATTCTCAAAGAATAAATAAATTTATTTTTAAAAGGGGAAGCTAGGTGAGCAGCAGCATTCATCCCCCTTCTTCCTGATTGTGGATACAATGTTACAAACAGCCACCATGACCTCCCTACTATGTGGATACAATGTTACATACAGCCACCATGACTTCCCTACTACCGTCATTCATCTATAGAAACTTACACTATCGACCAAAATGAACCATTCCTATCTTAAGGTGTTCCTGTCAGCTATTTG